GCATCTGCTAACTAAGCAGATGGATGTGGATTGATTTTTTCCAATCCGCCTAAATTCAAACAGATGATGGATGGAAGGCCACTCGATCCGTGAGCACCCTTAGTTTTAATACTTGTGGAAGCTACTGTGGAATTGAATCGAATTATGTATAACCTGGAGTTATTTTTATATCTATGTAGTGTTGTAAGCCACTTTAGTTTGATCTATGTAAGTTTTTTGTTTTTTAATGTGCTAACCATTTTCGCATGATGCATGCAATTTGCCTGATGAATTGAATATTCATGTGATCTCCATTCATATTTCATACTTTGCTAGTGTATTTTATGAATTCTGAATTTGAGATATGGTAGATGTGCATTTTTACTTTCAAACTGAATGCCTAAATCTCAATTTTTTTTTTCAGTACTGTATGCTTGAAAGGGATGCAACTTAATTTTTATTTACTTTTACACTTTAATCAACTAATTGACAGTGTTTGATACTTGAGGAAACAAGGCTTAGTTTTGAAGTTTTTAACATTGATCGTTCATGCCACAATGCTTCTTACTCCTTTCTTTCTCTAATGAAGATTTCTTTTTAAAGATGACATGCTGACCATTACCTATTTGAATCGTAATTAGAAAGGTTAAGTGTTCTAATATGATAGGTATAATTGTTGTATAAGGAGTTAAATTATAATCCATTATAGTTTATGATTTATTCTTACTCAAATTTCTTATTTTAGTTGCATAGGCGAAATCATTAAAATTTATTCTCAGTTATCAAAATAAGGTCAAGTTTGGGTAGTTTAAAAAAAGTCAAAAAGTCAAAAAGTTACTCAAAAAGTTAAAAAGTCATTACTATTCACCAAAAGTCAACAATTACGGCTGCACAATTCCCAATTCTAATTTTCCCCTACAAACTAATTTTTACAATTTTTTATTACACATTTTTCCATAAAAAGTCAAAAAGTTAACCCAAACATTCATATTTTCAACCTCAACTTTTTAGTCTAAAAAGACAAAAAGTGCACTTATTTAGTCTTCCCAAACTTGGCTTAAATCTCTAAAATATATAATCGATGCCTATTAGTTAAAATCATATAGTTTGTTTGGTATTAATTATGATAATATTTATATATGGTTGTGAATGTAGTTTGCAGTGTAATTTAAACAAACATTAGTTTGGTTTTAATGTGTAGTATGGTTGTGAATGTGGTTTGCATTGTAATTTAAATAAAACCTTACTTGATTCGTAGTGCAAGGCCACGATAAGGACCGTGTCGAACCTGGAACACGGAGCGAAGAAGCTTAGGAAGGCCGGGCAGAGCAGGTGGTTGGGGCGGAGGCCGGTGGTTCGTGGTGTGGCCATGAACCCAGTTGATCATCCTCATGGAGGTGGTGAAGGAAAGAGTAAGAGTAGTGGGAGTCATGGAGGTCTTCGCGAACACCATGGGGTAAGCCTGGTAAAAGTGGGTTCAAGTCTGGACCACTCAAGAAAAGAAGGTAGAGTTTGGTTTGGGTTTCATCTTTTTGTTCCCATCTTGATTGTCTTGCTAGATTGTCTTAAATTTGATGATACTCTGAGCTCGAAATGGATCTGTCACTGTTTTTGTACAATGCACACCAGTCGTCTAACTTTTTCCTGGAATGTAAGCACCAAATGGGTTAGTTTTTATTCCTTTAGTTTTTCATATGTTAAATAAAATGTAATTGTGCAAAGCCTGCATATTTGTTGAGACTGTTAATGACTCGATACGCACCAAGATCTTTTGCAACAGAGAGGCGAGGCGATGATGATCCTCATCCACAATCACAATTCTGCAAGCGAGCATTGCAACCAACCCTTTAGGTCAGTGTCTCCAATGACAAAAGGCATTGGTAATCAGTATTTTTATTGTTCTTTCATTATTTGTTGAATTAGGATGATAATTGATGAGGTTGTATTATTATAATTGGCAATAGATTCATATGAAATATATTGATGAATAATAAAGATTCTTGTTATCGAGAGACTAGTTATGCTTCCATTGATAACCCCCCTCAGGGCTTAAAAATCCCTTGGCTCTAAACAAATGTAATTAGAACTGTCTTTTTGGCCAATCTAATGTTGTTGCTTTCCTCTTGAATTTTACTAGAATAACTAATTGACAGGAACATTATTTTATTTATCTTGTCTAATTTGTTTGTTCATTGTGAATTTCAATTTTTTTAGTGAACATGGAAAATATATTTTCAAAAAACTTTTCTTTATGTTTGGTGGTGGTGGGACAAAGGTAGAGATGATAGTGGCGGCAACGGTTGTTATGGAAATGGAGTTGGTGGCGGTGGTGGTCGTGGTGACGGTAGTGGAGGTGATAGTGGCGGCGGCGATATTGTGGTGACATTGATAAAATTTTAATCTAAAAAATGTTTATCTTTTAAAAATTGAAAATATTTTTTTGCCAAATAAATGTAACGTAATTAAAAAAAACTTAATTTTAGCTAAAATTCAAAATTGATGGACAAATTAACTAAGCAAATTATTTATTTATGTAATATTTTAAATTGATTATAAAATACGTTATGCGCATTGTAATTTTTTATTGATTAAAAACATAACATAATATTTTAGAAGTATTTATTAATTTTTCAAAAGTACAAACATTAAAAAACACTACATTGGTTATTATAGATGTAACACTTCATTATTTTTTTTCCATTTAATTTAAATTTAATTAAAAAAATTAGTTTGATATAAACTACTCAAATTATTTCATCAATTTTGTTCTCCCATTTATTTTATATTTTTTTCATTAAATTTGATGAAAAAATAATTTTTAATATTTTATATATTTAAAATTTGATGATTTTATTTTAATTTAATAAACCATTGATAAAATAATTAAAAATAAATTTTGAATCCCTTTTTATCAAATAAAAAACATTAGAGCTAGTATTTAAAGATAGGGATTTGTTTTATGGGTAAAGCACCAATAAATCTTAAAATGTGATCTTATAAATTGTTTAGTCCTTTCTTTTTTTTTTATGAACCCAAATGTTCCATTAAAATAGAAATTATATAAAAGAATAATTACTTACATATTTTGGTTTAATTCTTTAGGTATAAAAGTAAGTTTCTCAAAATATAAAATTACACATTTAGAAAATTTGCACTATAAAAGTTTTGAATTTTCTCTTATTCTAGAATAAATCCCACATTACAAACAAAAACCTGACACTCTAATATAATACTCCAATAAGGTAATACTTTAATATAACATATTAAAAAACTCTTTAGTGTATCTTTCTCAAACGTAACACTCAAAAAAACTCTTTGGTGTATTTTTTCCAAACGTAAACGCTCCAATGTAACATGAAAAAAAAATCTTAGTGTACTTTTTCCAAATATAACACTCCAATTAGTGTAATTCCAAACATAACACTTTAATATAACATATACCAATATAACACACAAAAACATTAAAAAAACTTCTTACTATACTTTTTCTAAACGTAACACTCATAGTTTGAAATTATGCATTTGCCCAAAACTTATTAAGGAATATTTGTACTCCTTTTGGAATGGTTTCAAAAATCTCACATTCTTTATTCTTTAACGTTGCATTGGAGTGTTACGTTTAAGAAAAGTACAGTAAGATTTTTTATTTTTATTTTTGTATTATATTGAAGCGTTATGTTTGGAAAAAGTATATCCAAAAGTGTTTTTTGTGTGTTACACTAAGAAATTTTGTTAGAGTGTTATATTGTGTTATGTTTAGAAAAAGTACACTAAGGAGTTTTTTTGTGTGTTACATTATAATGTTACACTAAGGAGTTTTTGTGTATTACATTAGAGTGTTACACTAAAGAGTTTTTTAAAAGTATTATATTAGAGTGTTGCATTTGGGAAAAACACACTAAGAATTTTATTTTTATTTTTATGTTACATTAGAGTGTTACACTGAGAAGTTTTTATGTATGCTACATTAGAGTGTTACATTAAGAATTTTTTTTGGAGTGTTATATTTGGAAAAAAAAATGCACTAAAGAGTTTTTTTTTATTTGTTACATTAGAGTGTTAACTAATGAAGTTATATTGGAGTGCTACGTTTGGAAAAAAAATACAGTAATGAGTTTTTTTATGTGTTACATTAAGGTATTGCACTGAGATTTTTTTTTAAGTGTTACATTAGAGTGTTACATTAGAATATTACAGTTTGAAATTATACATTTGGCCAAAACTTACCAGAAAAATTTTTGTATCCATTTTGAAATATTTGAAAATCTCACATCCTTTTTGAAATGTTTAAACAATCTCATATTTTAAGTCATTTTTGCATTCTTTTTTAAATGTTTTCCAAATAAAAAAGATTTTTATATAAAATTCATCCAAAATTTGATTCTCATATATTGTGTACCTTATCTTTCTAGCAAAAAAAAAAAAAAAGAAGGAGAAGTAACATAATAGAAATAAGAGTATAACCATAAAATTTAATTTTTAAATAATATATTAAATCTATTTTTTTTTTTTTAAATCAATAAGACTAAGGCCAAGTTTGACATACACAAAATAATCAATCTTTTTATCTTTTTTCCATCACATTACATCTCTACTTTTCTGAACATTTTTTCATAAAAAGACAAAAAGTACACTTATTTAGGTCATCTCAAACAACCCCTAAAGCCAAGTTTAGCAAAAAGGCAAAAAAGTAAAAAGTCAAAAAGTTACTTAAAAAGTTAAAAATTTATCACTATTTATCAAAAGTCAAAAAGTACGGCTGCACAACTCTCAATTCTAATTTTCCTCTACATACTAATTTATATAATTTTTTAACACACATTCTTTCATAAAAAGTCAAAAAATTAATATAAAAAATTCTTTAGAGCCAAATGACCACCATTTTTCAAAACGAGACTGTAAGGAAATTTCAAAATGAGATCCATAAAAAAAAATCTTTTGACGTGAGTTATACGCCGACTCAACTCCCGCGCTACACCGACTCAACCAACGCCATTGAAAAGAGTGAGTGAGTAGTCTCTCATTTTGTGAAGAGAAGAGAATAGTTGTTCTGATCTGATAGTGTGTATGATCTTGGTTTTTTTTTCAAACGAAGAAGAAGAAGAAGAAGAAGAAGAAAAAAGAGTTGTTCTGATCTCATAGTTGTGTATCATCTTGTTTGTTGTTTTTCAAATGAAGAAGAAGATGGGTTGGTCGCATCCGGATATACAACTGGAAGATTTCTTGAAACTGATCAAAGGGTTTGTAGATATCTTGATTTTGGCATCTGGGTATCAATCCTCTGGTTCTCTTGCCCATTGGGACCCCCACAACTTCAACAAAGCTTTTCAATGGGGTCTTTTCTTTCAGAATGTATGTAACCCTAACCCCTTCCCTCTTTATTTAGCTATTTATATATATTTTTTTCCCACCAATTTCAAGATTCAATGATACAGATAAGGTTATAAGATTGGTCTAGGGTTTATTAACAATTCATGTTCTCAATTGAGCTGGCTTTAGTCATTAATATTTGCAACTCAAGTCATTGTTTTTGGTTTGCAGATTTCTAGGTATGGCTGATTAATAGAATTTTTTGCGGCTTGTTATCAAATTCCCGTTTTGTAATTATTTGATACTGTTCTGATTTTGCTGACTCTTTTTGAGTTTTAATGTATGTTTGCCAGCCACAACTGAATTAAGTTAATTGGTTTTTTCTAAGAATCAATAAACTTTCACATTTGAAAGAGTCTGAGCTTGGAAAGAGATTATCTTATTAAATTGCTGGAAAATCTAATTTAGGAGATGATTTTCTTGGTTTGTGAGAAGTTCATGATACTTCTTCCTAAAAGCATTTGCTGTTCTTCTGCTTGTTCTTTTGTACCTTTGTCTATCCATGTTAGCATCTGCAGGCACATCGTACACCAGCCCTATATATTTAACTAAGCTTTAAATGCAATCACTTGGGTTTACTTATATGGCTTCAAATTCTTTCAGTTTATTGCACTAAATCATTGGACTATATGTCATTTTAGTTTTTCTATTTCAACTTTAATTGCCCTGTGATGTCTAATATTAGAAAAGGCCGTACCCAATGCACAGGTCCCTCACTTACAACGGGGTCCAAAAGCGAGAGTAGATAGACAACCTTACCCCCACTTTTTGTGGAGAGATTGATTCCCTTGACTCAAATGATCATCACATAAGACTGAGTGTGGATAGAACTTGCCGTCGCGCGTCAGTGGTGTCTAAATTGCATATTTGAATTTCTTTGAAGCTTGAAATAAATGCAGCAACTCCCTTGTCCTCTGTTGGGAATGACGTTTCTTCTGGTTCCAATGCTTAGGTCCTGAGGCAGTTGAGGTGCTCAGATGGTTACCAAGACTCCGTAAAGGAACTTGATGCTGCTTTATCTGAAATAACATCTAATCCATTCTTCCCGCAGGTTGCTGTTTCTGACACATTTTCCATGAGATTAGAACCCCTTCTGTTTCCACCCCTCTCATTTTTTTTTTTTCCTCTTTTCTTTTTTCTATTTACTTGAAGTTCTAATTTCTGGTGACAATATGATTTGATTGCTATATGATTCTATGAAATGAAAAGGCAGGGTCTTGCACATCTATCATCTGATACTCTTCATCGAGCAAGGGACTTTGTGTTAGAACATCTGATCCATACCTTACCACTGAGGGACACACATCTCAGAGATTTTACAATAGCAACTATTGAAATGGATCTTGATGAGCTTCGGAGAACCAGAAATGATTTCCTTAATGTGTATCTTAATAAGTTGGTGTTGCAGAATCCATCTGTGAATCCAGATTTGGATAGGAGAGGTTTCATGGAGGACTCAATACTTTCATCTCAAGACATTGTTCCCAATACAAAAATTGAAGGTGATTTTACAGAGTATACTATTCAGGAACTCATCAGGAGGCAATCAGCAGTATCATGCATATCCTCAGCAGAAGCTGGGTTGGATATTCTTTGCAAGGCCATAAGGCAAGGCAATTGGAATAAGTCTGACCATGGCTTGTTTGAAGAACTACTAAAGCATGCCTCAGCTCCACTGTAAGTGATATGTTACTGAACTTACGTAGTTGAAGACAGACGTTACAGTATCATATTAATGGTTTCTTTACTGGACATTTCACTAGGAAAACATGATTGGTTGATTGATTCCAGTTGTCTAGGATTTAAACGCAAAATATATCTACCATTTCGTATCGACACAAGAGATGAACCATTGAAATAAGAGTATATTTCTATAAAACACAAATGTGTGTTAATACATAGTTGTATCTGACAGCTGTGGTATCACAAAGTTTTCATGTAGTTATTTAACACCAGAGTACCCACTAATCATCCCATTCATTGTTTAGCTTGTGCAATGCACAGAACAAACCAGCAAGCCTGGCCAAAAGCATGTGCCCTTTCGAACTGTCCTCAGATGACCAGCTTTGTGAGTCAACTAATCTTCATTGATTAATTTGAAGAAGTGATAACTTTTTTTTTTTTAAAAAAAAACTCTGAACACTGTCTCATGTTTTAAGAACACTGAAATGTAAATCTTGACAGTCTCATCATGGTAGTTCAGAGCTGTATATTGAGTTGCAACTGGGATTGATATGATACAAAAGCTGTGTTGTGTGAAGACAAATGTAAAGTACTCTTTGTATTTCGTTTAATTTTTCTGCTTTATTCTGCTAAGACATCTGATAGCACATATTTAACACCTAAGTTTGTTGTGTATAATAAGGGTGTCACTGTAATCAATGAAGAGATAATTTACAACTCTTAAATGATAATAAACAAGTTCCTTTAAGTGCTATTGAGCACACAAAGGAATGGGTTCCAAGGACACATTCAGTTCTGTGAAACCTCCAATCACCTCTTTGTCTATCATTATGCACTTTGTACAACTTGTCCTTTTGTTGTTTGGTTTACCTTTGAGTTCCTTCAAATAGCAAGAAAGGTGGCACACTGGTAGGTTTAGTATACATTACTGCTGTTATAGGCTTTTCTTAACAGAGACTGAAAGCCCTGACCTAAATATGTTTCTCCCATTGCTCTCAGGATTGAAGAGCAGTTGATTGAATATGACACATGGAATTGTTGGAAAAAAGGGACTCTCTCCTATTTTCTTGACAAGAGAACTATCAGATTGGTGTCAGGTGCCAGCATGATATTCTCTGCTCCTAAGGTTCAATGGGTTCAGGTGTTCGAAAGGTTGAACATTTCAGCAGAAGCCAGTGATGATGATTCACGTGATATAATAGTAAGTTCTTCAAGTTGACAAGTTCTCTTGTTTTTTGGGTGACTTACATTATGATTTCAGACCATGATCACTTCTACATTTGGGTCCATAGACTCAGTTTGTGCATGAATTCATAGTTTTGTTTGTTTATCCATGCATTCATATATATGTTCACAAATATGTTATATAGTTTCTTGTAATTAATTTTTCAATATTCATGTTGTTGTAGGAACTAAACTAGTGAATTCAGAAATGATGCCCTTTACATGCACAATTGAGGCATTTTATTTCAAGGTTTTAGGGCTCCAAACCTGACTTCTCAAAATACTAATTGGAATTGGTATTGTAAGAAATATTTTGCATTTCCAAGGAATTTAGAAAATTTAGCACTTCAATTAGATTGCATTTGAAGTTGTTACATCACATAACAGTTGTATTATTCTTGTTACAATGATCAGTCAATATCTGCTTCTTGTTTTCAATCTTTTGAATCATGAGATCTGGTTGGTTTTCCTTTTCTTTGTGCATGAGGTTTCTTGGTCATATTTTACTGTGGGTTTGTTGTTGTTGTTGATTTTAATTTTTGTAGAAAATTTAATGTATAAAGAGAAATAGAGAATTGTATAGATATTGATTGTATTATTGATTGATATATATTGATGTCTATTACAATGATTCATGATTCCTATATATAGAAGAGGGTGAGTGTGTAGTAGGTAAGGAGTAGGTGAAGTGGAGGTGGTAGTGGTGTAGTGGGTTAGGTTTAGTAGAGTAGGTTTAAGTGGGTGAAGTAGGTGATAGGTTTTAACAGCCCCCCGCAAACTCAAAGGGGATAGGAACTAACCAACTTGAGTTTGGAGAGAGTAACAAAACAAGAAAATAGACGAATACATAAAAGAAAAGAGGATAGGAGACACTGTATGGTCGTGTCAGACCATTGGTGAAAACACTGGATGGTGGTGTCATAACGTTGTAGAGGACACGGTATGGGGGTGTCATAACGTTGTAGAGGACACGGTATGGGGGTGTCATAACCATGTAGAGGACACTGTATGGTGGTGTCAGACCGATGTAGAAGACAGTTTATGGGGTCATGTCGGACCGATGTAGAAGACAGTTTATGGGGTCATGTCGGACCGTTGTAGAAGACAGTTTATGGGGTCATGTCGGACCGTTGTAGAAGACAGTTTATGGGGTCATGTCGGACCGTTGTAGAAGACAGTTTATGGGGTCATGTCGGACCGTTGTAGAAGACAGTTTATGGGGTCATGTCGGACCGTTGTAGAAGACAGTTTATGGGGTCATGTCGGACCGTTGTAGAAGACAGTTTATGGGGTCATGTCGGACCGTTGTAGAAGACAGTTTATGGGGTCATGTCGGACCGTTGTAGAAGACAGTTTATGGGGTCATGTCGGACCGTTGTAGAAGACAGTTTATGGGGTCATGTCGGACCGTTGTAGAAGACAGTTTATGGGGTCATGTCGGACCGTTGTAGAAGACAGTTTATGGGGTCATGTCGGACCGTTGTAGAAGACAGTTTATGGGGTCATGTCGGACCGTTGTAGAAGACAGTTTATGGGGTCATGTCGGACCGTTGTAGAAGACAGTTTATGGGGTCATGTCGGACCGTTGTAGAAGACAGTTTATGGGGTCATGTCGGACCGTTGTAGAAGACAGTTTATGGGGTCATGTCGGACCGTTGTAGAAGACAGTTTATGGGGTCATGTCGGACCGTTGTAGAAGACAGTTTATGGGGTCATGTCGGACCGTTGTAGAAGACAGTTTATGGGGTCATGTCGGACCGTTGTAGAAGACAGTTTATGGGGTCATGTCGGACCGTTGTAGAAGACAGTTTATGGGGTCATGTCGGACCGTTGTAGAAGACAGTTTATGGGGTCATGTCGGACCGTTGTAGAAGACAGTTTATGGGGTCATGTCGGACCGTTGTAGAAGACAGTTTATGGGGTCATGTCGGACCGTTGTAGAAGACAGTTTATGGGGTCATGTCGGACCGTTGTAGAAGACAGTTTATGGGGTCATGTCGGACCGTTGTAGAAGACAGTTTATGGGGTCATGTCGGACCGTTGTAGAAGACAGTTTATGGGGTCATGTCGGACCGTTGTAGAAGACAGTTTATGGGGTCATGTCGGACCGTTGTAGAAGACAGTTTATGGGGTCATGTCGGACCGTTGTAGAAGACAGTTTATGGGGTCATGTCGGACCCA